CAAGTAGTTCTAAGGCTGTGCATGTTACCCAGTTTGACTCATCTATCCGTACAACATTTAATATATAAATATCAATGAGTCTAGAGAGAGAATCGACTTTTTTATACAGAAAATAATAAGAATAGTCTTTTATTTTGGTGCAATAATCTGCTTTTCAGAACATTCTAATCTCTTTTGTTCTCTCTTAGCCAACAGTCAGTAGAACACTTCATTCATCGAACAATGGTCAAATGTTGAACAGAAGTGATATTAGGAGTGACATTGAAAATAATAATGTTCCTCAGTTATTTAATTCTGGTGGTGATGATTGCTTTCCATCATCATTAGATGAAGAGATAGCATTGGATTTGCAACGTCAAGAATATGAACGTGGTACTATTGACAACAGACAAAATCGTCAACAGGATTCGATTCATATCCACTTTAATAATTATAATCATGGTGAATCAATGGCATTAGCAGCTGCATTGGAATCAGAACCAAATCATACAAATGAAGATTATAGTAATTTAGACGTCGAAGCTAGACGTCGTTATCAACGAGAACGAGAGGCGCTACAAAACTATGGAGTAGATATGTCGTATGATCCTTCAATGTCTAATTCACCTGTTAATCAACAACGACTTATGCACGGTCTTTCTGGACTGCATAATAGGCCCTTTCCTATTTTTCAAGATAGAAATCATGATATAAGAAATTTACAACAACATGAAGGTGATTTTGGAGCAGAAGATTATGAAGTTAGTGCAGATTTTGTCTTTGTTGAATGATAGCGTAAACAAAATACTTTTTCATATTCTTAGACATTATTAGAATTGGATGAACAGACTGATGCAAATAAACACAAATTGAATGAATATGAAATTAATCAAATACCAACAGGAACATTCAAAAACGTGAATAATTTCACAACAGAAGAAAACACATGTAGTATATGTTTTGATACTTTTGAAGAAAATCAAATATTACATTATTATCGATGTACTCATAAATTTCATAAAGAATGTTCAGCTCGTTGGTTACTGGTAAGTTTTCGAAGCAAAAACCAAATAAGCGTTTAAAGGCTAATTTAAGATAGCAAGAAAACGTTAGAGAAAAGTTTTCCATAGCAATGCTTTTAATGGCCATCGCCGTTTGCTAAGAACGTTCGATAAGAACAATAATCATTTAGCTTAAATACTCTCACATTTGTCGGTTGTCGAGTGAAAATGCTTAATGTTTGTTTTGATATTTCGCTAATTTCTCATCTTATTTATTCAAGGAAAATAATGTTTGTCCAATTTGCCGTGTACCTCCAATAGAAGTGGAACGACCAGCTGTACAGCATCGTTCACCCGTTCGTCGTCTATCTGGTACATCATATAATACGAACAATAATCGTGGTCAAAATAATAGGCGAGGCAGAAGATAAAGACTTCCGAATTAAGATGATTTTAAAATTTCATATTTTTGTTTGTTTTTGCCTTGCTCTATTATGCAATCAATCGAGAATAACAGCATATATTGCTCCTGACGTCTTTGTTCGCATATCTCTAATTTCACAACAAAAAATTCCGTTTTGTTTATTTTCAACAGAGTATATCTGATTCTGAGAGATCCTTTTCATAGTGCTTGTCATACAGATACTCGTTTATATTATCTTATCTTAAATTTCGCTTTACTGCTAAAAGAAATATTTTTTTCTTTGTTTTGTGTCTAATTCATTCAAGGATTCGTGTAAATTATACATGACAGTGTTTTTTCTTTATACATGTGACATAAGAATTACGCTCAGTCATTTTTAAAAAAGATACATTGACTCATATCATTCAAAATTATGTTCTTTTCTTATATCAATCTACAACGAGTTTCATTCTTCTATCTCCAGAAAATTAAGAAAAAGGCTTATTCATACGCTGACGTACTCCGCTTCTACAATGGATGTTTGTTATGAATATACGTCAAAACGTTTTGCTAAAACGCTCAATTTATCAGTGCTCAGAATTTTGCGTAGAAAAACAAATTTTCATTTAAATACTGTAAAACGGATGAAATACGATGTCTCTTTTTCCAACATAGCTATCGAGGAAAAAGTAAAACAAAGAAAACCAGTTTGACCGCTTTAGCAAAGGAATTTGTGGCCTAGATAAGATAGTGAAAATGAGCCGCAAGCTTCTATGTGAGGCGCATGGATACTGTTAATACATGGTCATTGAAGCTTAGCAGCATTCAGTTCCGTGAGCATTTTCCTCTTTTTCTTTAATGTAACTCCACAAAATTTTGACCAAGAGTCGCGCACAGAAGTAGCATTTTGCTTTTTCTCATTCATCATAGACTATTATTTGTTTCGCTGACGAATCTAGAATACCTGTTAGGTATTCGGGATAAATCAGAAGAAAAGTAGTACGTGCGGTTACCATGGGTAAAGACTTTTTAGGCAACTGTGCTCGGAAAGCCGATTTTATGCCTTTTACTGCAGTCCATTACTGACGTGTCTGGATACACTTCTCACCCTGATTTTCCTATTCTATCAGCTTTACGCCAAAACTTTTTCTTAAAAATAATTTTTCGCATAATTTTTAAAAAAATGCATCTTAACGGCTCAGATAAAACAGATGCAAAAATTAAGCAAAAAATCGTATAATCAGCGTAAAAAGTTGAAAAAAGCATTGATTATCGAGCTTTGCATTTAATTTTTGCGTCTAACTTTTCTCAACTCATTCTTACGTGACTCTTGGTTATTCTACAGATCGATCACACCCGCTACTGTGGTGTGCGTGGCGCGTGAGTGTGTGATCAATCTGTAGAAGTACTCTTTTTATTGAATTTAACTTTCATCTGATAAAACGTTAATTTAATTGCCTTCTACGTAATTACCGATAAACAAAAAGGATAAGTTTTTTCTTTTAATCAAGTAAATACAAAAAAATATCTGAATCAAATGGAACTACAAACGTTGTCTTTAAAATGATGATATTTCATTTGATCTTGCAATTGCTTTATTTGTTAATAATGAACCATTTAAATATAAATTCATCATAGTTGGCATACAATCACTAATGATTTTAATGTCCTGAGGAAATTCGAATCGAAAATGTTCCACACAATGACGTGTAAACGTTTGACAATTTAAAGTAGATGACCACTTGTCACTTTTATTTAATGCACATATTCGATCATGGACTTCAGATATCAGTTGATGTTCAACTTCTTGTGCAAAACGATTTGGCATGCGATATACTTGAATATCAATTAGAGGTATTTGCCCAACTTTTCTTATTAATGAGTAGTGATCCCATTTACGAATTTTAAAAACAGGATCCACATACGTTGTGTGGTCAGTTGAACTGACCACATAAAGATCGTAATGAGTAGCAATGAAATCAGTTTCTGTAGATGAGCCTGATATATCAATTGCCATACCATAATGCGTTTTTTTTTCGATTTCACCTTCTTTACCTTCTTTTTTCGGTTTATGTACAACAACATAAACTGAACCAGCTTGAGTTAAATCAACGAATTCCTTTGGAGAAATCATATCAGGTCGACATATATCAATCTTGTCCAAATTGATTCCCATACGAATAAAATTAATAATTGATTTTATATCTATAATAAGAAACTCTTTATAATGTGTTTAATATAAGCGTTAACGTTTTACTGCGTAGGGAAAGATTTAGTAAGGCAAGTATTCATTGAAATTTCTTCCGGTGAGCGCCTGCTTGAACGGAAATCATGTTGGCACCGTCGCACAATAAAAGAATTTTTAATAAAAGCTGATCTTGATTGACAACAACAAGGAACTAAAATATTCCTCTAGTTGCGTTGTACGTGTAGTGTGCGAGCTCGCAAAACATGGAAAAATGGCTGTTAGGTATTTCATGGACGCAGAAGACATCTAGCAATAAAGTGAGATCATTAGATCGCCAGCCATGAAAAATACGTTGAGAACATGGCTTCATGGGAATTCCTGGATATTAGAAAAAGTGAACGGATTAAAACGTACCGGCAGTTAGCATATAACTACTAGAACAGAAAATCCATTTTAGCAATACAATGGCTACAAATTTTTCATAATAATAATCTTTCCGCTCTAATATCAACAATCATTTACCATCAGTCACGTACTCACTTTTGAATAACCAACTGTTCTATCCTTTTCCACCACAAATGTTGTTACATCAGATTTTAGACACATCGGAGATTACAAAAACTGTTAAGTTATACGTGATATGCAGGTTTAGCACGACTGTGTGTGAGGGGAGAGAAGACGCGATAGACCCCCAGTAATAAAAAAACATTTTTTTAACCAGCAAAATGATAAAAAGGATTTTGGCAAAAAGGCCGCACTGAAAAAAAGTTTTGGTTCACATCTACCAAAAAAATTCTTCCAGGTAAACTTCATCGAAAATTTCTAAAGTTTTTTTGACACTTTCTAATCCTGAGTAATTCGGACCAGTCCTGGTGATATGCCCGCAAACAGAAAGCAAAACGCCATCAAAATTTAAGAAAAAACCAAACTTATGCAAAATGCGAAAAGTCTCCTTCCGCGAAAGTGCTCCTTTCTCATAATTAAGACCTCCGTCTGTCCTAAGTATCGTTCATCAGCAATCATTTTCTTCCAATTTGATCTTAAAAATATTTTGCTCAATATCTGCTTTTTATTTTAAGAGAAAGGGAGAAAAAAACAAGCAGAACGAATAAGAATATCAAGGTTGATCTCTATATGAGTAACCATTACATCACAAATGCATAAATGTTTATGTATTTAAGCTCCTACGATCTAGAGATTTTTGAGAGCTCATACTTAGTTTTTTGAGATATTAACGCTGTTTTCTATCCTTTAAGCGCCGGTACGCTCTCCAATTCGACCCATTCCGACGAACTGGCGACGTTTAACGGTCGGCGATCTGATGAAGATGTCATCGTTATATATTTGATTACATATACATATATTGCGTGCAGAATTCACTGATATGTTTTTGGACGCAGCGCTTATTTCGTGCATTTTTTTCGCTTTTTAAGGACAAATCCGTAGGGTGAAAGTTTCGGATTTTAACAAGAACTAAATAGTTTCATGTTCTGTCTTTCTTGTTTATTTATGACATTTGTTGAGATATTCACCATAGTGTAGTATAAAAAGCGTCCTCTATGGTATAGAATAGCGAATATCTCAGTGAGTATAAGAGATAAATCAAGGCAGACAGAAAATGAAACTATTTGGTTCTTGTTAAAAATCCAAAACTTTCAACCTACGGATTTGTCCTTAAAAAGCAAAAAAAGTCTGCTAATGATTCGATGAATCATCCTAATCGGCAAGCTTGCCACACCAAAATTTGATAACAGAAACTAAATTCAACAGGGAGAGCCACGCTACGATGTAACATAAATTACAAGCAAATGATTACCTAAATGGAAAGTTTTCTGTTTCACATTTGGAAAGTACGTTGATCAATGCGTGGTTCTCAAATTGAACTGTTGGAAGAAAATTAGGCGTTCCCAGGGCTATCTTTATCGGTCGTTGCCCCTTGGATACTGAATTAGCAAAAGGGTATTTTAATTTTTCGATTTCCAGTCGAAGTTACTATGCTACTTCAATGATTTTATAGTCTTTGAAAGATTTCGTCTCAAAATAAAATTGCATTCGTATGGAGCACGGTGTTACAGTCTGAACTACAAATAGAAGTCGAATATTGGAGGGGGGAGAGGTAGAATACAAAGCAGAATTTCTCCCGTTGATAGTGTGAAACCGATGAAAAGAAAGCTGCGTGAAGCACAATAATTTTTTCAATTATTCGGAAGATGCGTACTCTCCCGCCTTTTGCGACCTTGGTTACAGTGAAAGAACCGAGTAGGTCATCATTTGGTCTTTTTTCCTTTTTATTGATTTTGTCCTTTTAGTGAGACTGTAAATAGGTGATTTGGAAATCTATCGAGAGTTATTTTTCGTGTTATCCTAATTCTGTTGACAGCTGGTGCAGAGTTTTTAATGACAAAGCATATCATGTGCTTTGTGTTTAAAATCGACTGTGTGCTTTCTCTGTAATGTAGAAAAAACTTATTACAAATGTAAATGTTGGCTGTTCACTTTGTGAAAATTTTCTGTTAAAACATTGCTGAGAAGCTTTGTTAGTGTATAGCAAACTTCTGTATAGTTTATTTCTGTTTTTGGTGTAGCCATAACAAATGTTATGCACTACTTGTTTATTCGTTTTAGAAGTTTCTTAAAAATCAAATACGACTGCTATGGATTCTAATGAATGCAACACAACAAAAACAACAACCCTACAATTAGAAACTGAATTAACGACTGATCAAGTGTTATCTTCTCAACAACAAGAACATCACATTTCATCGACAGCTGCAAGTCAGAATCAAGAAACACGAACAAGAGAGAACGGTTAGTAGTTATCTTCTTCGTTACAACATTTAGCGTGGTATTGATAATATGGAATTGTTCTAGATCTAGTAGAAACATCAAATGAACATAATTCTAGTGTAGAAATGATTGATGCAGCTCAAGCAGATGACAGTGATAGGTAACATTATTGATCTTTCTTTTGCTGTAATATCTCATTTTATTTCATCTGTCATTTTAGTTGGACTACTGATGATGAGGGTAAGATTTTCAATTCGATGAAATATTCTATCAGCTTTTTGTCATTATTGGTATTTTTCTGTAGGAGATTTTTATTCAAATAATGATAATCCTCCGACAGATGAAGATGATGATGAAAATCAATTTGGCGGACCTGGTTTATCTAAATATTTGATTAATATTTATCCAGTAACAACTGCTGAAGAAGCATCGTATGTTGGGAAATTATGTGATATTTGTTTAAATGAATATAAAGAATCAGATAAATTACGTTTGTTACCGTGTCTACATCGTTTTCATGTTAAATGTATTGATAAATGGCTAAAAGTATGTTAATGTTATTATAATAAAGACTTTATTTGAACTCAAGCAACTTAATTTTTGGATTTGTTTTTTTTTAGAAAAATGGCAAATGTCCCGTGGATAGATCTGATCTACGGAAGGCTAAATGGTATACGTCATAATCTCTATTGCCCATCAATGTTTAGAATTTTGTATTCTCAAGTCAAGTGATTGTATTTTTTATTTTCTTATTCTTGTTGCTGCTGTTAGCTGTTGTTGTTATTGTTGTTATACTTTTTCTTCGCTCTTTTTCTACTCTCGTGTGTTTTTTTTTCATGATTCGCTCGAGAAAAACAGCGTGTAAGATTTTCTACGATCTATTCATTTTCTCTAATAAGAACAGATGTCAACTTTTTATTTATAAATTGTGCGAATCAAGTATTTTGTATGCAACTTTTTTTTCTTTATATATGTCGTCAAAATAAAGTAAGATGCAGCTCGTGGTAATAGTTAGTTGTTTCCTCGAAAGTATTTGATATTATCCAGTTATACACTATTTTACTCAGTATCATTAAAAAAACATTTTGAATCTACTCTTTATAAATAAAAAAGAGGCCTAAAGACAATGGGAGAAAAGTAAATGTGAATTTTTATTGTGGAGGATGATTGAGATGATTTGAGCGATAGTTCAGAATGATCATAAAAGAAATGAATACAACTTCAGCAAAATCAGCCAATAATATGTCAAACAAATAAGTTTCTAGATTTATCTATAGAAAATTTAGTATCCGTTGAGACATTCTGTTAGACGGTCTAAATCACATTCGAAATTACAAGAAAATAGTCTGTTTTTAGAAAAAAATTTTCTTACAGATTGTAAGTGATGCGAAAAATTTTATCAGCTAGTTTTAGATGGTCATAGATAGAAATAAGTGAGTTTGAATTTTTTCCAATCAATAATTTTTAACATCTTTCTATCTGTAGATTGTATAATGATAATAGCGCTTTATTCATTCTGTTTACGAGTATTTACCAGCATATAAAGATGTTTGTTCTTGTCATCAATACGCAGGTTGTTGTGTATATAAAATATTTGCATCAACAAGAGAATGTTTTAAAATATTCCTATTGAATAAATGGCTGTCTTACTGACAAACAGTGTCTCAGAACACTAACTATGGAACCAATACAAGATTAACAAAAGTTAGAACCAGTACAGTTGGTTAAAGAAGTCCGTTATCGATTAAATACGAATGATTTTGAACAGTTATAAAAAGAACTTAAGAGACAATCAAATCACTGTAAAAACTTAAAGGTTATATTAAATAAAAAAATGTTTAACAACAGTAAAAACAATCAAGAAATAATTTAGCCTCAAGAAGTCAGTATGCTTAGCAGGACATAATGTTATATGCAATGTCTAAAAGCAGAGTATTTGATCATAATCAATTCTTTGAATTTGATTTTGATTATTTAAATAAAAGGAAGCCCACTTACGCTGACATATCTACTGTTGCTTCCGATAAACATTGTTTATTTTCAAACGAAAACAATTTGAATTGAAGAAGATATTACAAATTTAACCAGATGTTGCTTTTTTGTCATTAAAAGCACATGAGGAGGATTTATAGATTCATATTGATATTAATAATGAGTATATTAAACATGTTTCACTAAAGATATCTCGTGATCTGATGTATTCCTCATTTACTTGATTTAAAGTAAATGAAATGTACAAATCTACATAAAAATATTTTCTAGATTGATGTCTTATCTTTCTTCCATGTATTCCATGTTAGTTTTAAAATTCTTCCTCATCTACGATTATGACACGCTTTCTCCGAGTAACTTCTCCCTCACAGCATTATCTCTTATTTGGATTGTATACTGGGAGTCGTATCACGAAAAAACTTAAGTCCAAGTGTAAGACCGACTTAAGTCCGAGGACTTAAACCGTATCGCGAAAAAGACTTAAGTTAGCGATTTGTTTACTTTTTAAAAGTCGTTGACAACAGTGACAAATTTCTGATAAAAACCCACAAAATAACGAAATATGTATTCTCTAATCCTTAGAATGTCGTTTTCGTCGAATGGTATCGTTAAATGCCTGATCTATTCAAAAAATACGTCAATGACTCAAGTCCGACTTAAGTTTTCGGTCTTAACTTTAAGACTACATTTCCCATGACTTAAGTCACCCTTTGACTTAAGTTTTTGTGATATGGTAAAACCTAAGTCAAAATTTGGACTTAAGTCAGACTTCAGTTTTTTTGTGATACAACCCGCTGATTGATACTCTGTATTTCAGATAGATGTCTCAAATGTGTTATATTTCAGTGGATCAAACATCTATTATTCGGCTGAAGTTTCAATTAACAATGATATCCGATCTTTTATCGCTAAATATGTCGGTAATATAGAGAAAACGTAAGTGCTGTTGTAGTGATGGGAGCTGATTTCTTTTTCCCACCAATTTAGGTCAATGGCTATTAGAATACAAATTGTAATTGTTAGAAAAAAAGATCAGACCTCGTTCACATTGCCACAAGGATTGGATGAAATGACAGAAAGTGTTTACTTATACCAATGTTGAACAAGGTTTTGTTATAAATATAAGTAGAATATTTTCAGCTATTTTATTTTTGTTTTTATTTGAAATATTATTTTAAATATGATCAGAAAATATATTACTAGATCAATAAAATAATTATTTACTAATAAAAAAATGACGATAATGATTCTTTGTTTCATGATACTCATTGTCGTTTCAACAATTTTCATACAGTTCAAGCAGAAAAACAATTAGTTTAATCTGAAACTCCATCAAACAGACGCGTTAGTGTAAATGAATCAGAAAGAAACGTAATAAACGTTCTACCAAACAGTCTCATGTAGAAGAAGGTGCTTCATCTTCATGTATAGGTAAGAAAAACGTTTACTAGTAAAGGTAAATTGTAATAATATAAATAATTAATCATTTTTCTAGAAATATGTCATTTTGATTGTTCAAACGTTCGTGCTGATAAATTGCGCGTTATTGTTGTTGTTATTTATTTCTATTTTTTACAGAAAATTTTTCGTTTTATTTATGATTTTTTTTGTTGTATTCAACAGTACAGAATTTAGTTAAAAATACCTTTTTTTGTACGTTTACATTGTTTACTTATCGTAATACAACTTTCTGATTGTGTCATTATATGTTTTTTGTATGATTAATTCTGGAAATGATAAAATATGTCAATATCTTTCAGGAGTAATTTGCAATAGAATCCATGCGCAATACAATTTTTTATGGAGCCTGTCTTACGGGCAATATTCATTTTTACTTTCTATAATAAAAAATGCTCAAAACTATGAAAACATTATTTCAAGTTTTAATATGTTTAAATATGTCATTTGTTTATCAAGAACATACTACTAATTTATTAAGAAACCAAAAAAAAGAGAACACTTTATTTTTTAGAAAAAAATAATTCTCATTTTGTCCATAATTTCCAATATATATCGATTTTCTGTTGTTATTATGATTAATTCTTTATTTATGAACACAGTGAAAGAAATTCAAAATTTTTTTCGATCAGTCTGACACTATGACTGATATACACAAATTTAAGTAGAAAATTTAATTTGCTATACAAGATAAAAAAAATCTATATTTTTTCGCATACTCTTTTGAATGTGCTAATGTTCACTTATTTTCAAATCATTTCACTTTTTATTCCATTAACATTTAAAAAGTATTTTGCTCACGATATAGGCTGTATTTCGTTTGGGGATGTAGATCATACTCTCTGACTGTTTGTACAATAGAATTTATTGCTAAAGCTAATACTCAGAATAGTTTATGTACTTTTGAATTGTAAATTCTACTTATTTTGTATTGAAGTACTTCACCTTTCATTTTTTTTTTTCTTTTTCTATATATTATTATTTCGTCGTTAATTCTGTAATATATAAACATCATGAAGTACGACTTTGTTAAATAAAAGAAAAGAATAATTTTATTGTATGTAAAAAATTCAGTTTTGAAAATAGTACATGATTTGACAGGTAAGTAGTATGTGACAATTGAGATTAGAAATTTGTATTTTTTCAAATTCTATTCTACTGGATCAAATTTAATTAAAAATTAGTTAAATTAAGACACATCATGAAAGATAAATAGTAGAAGTATAGATTGTCATTTGTCTTTTCTATTATCGTTTATTTTATAATTTTAAACTTCTGAGTTGATGGCCTGCCTACTGTTCAAATTATTAATCGTACAAAATTAATAAATGAACTTTTAATCGTTTTATTCTCACTTTCTCGATTTTCTTTTTAATATTTAGTTTTTCCATCATACCAAATACAAAAAAGAAATCTCTTGGGTTTTTTTTTTCTTCTTCTATTTAATGCCATCGTGTCTACGTAATAACGATTTTTATCATTCGGTTTTTTTTTTTTGTTTAAAAAAAAGAAATCCATTATATTTTTCTTATGTTATTCTATACACATTTTATTATGGTTTCTTCTTTTTTTTCTCTCTTTCGTACTGTACTATATGAAAGAGTTGTTCTTCGCTTTTTTTATTATGATCGAGAATATTACAAAAGCTTGAGCTTTATTTAAATACGTTTTTTTTCTTGAGTTGTCAAATATATATATATATATATTGACTGACTGCATAAAATGTGGTGGTAGAATATCGTTTTTTCTCTTTGTTTTTTTTTTTATTTTTTTATTTTATGTTCCTGTGATCATCATTTCATAACGCAAAAAAAAGATTCGCCGATTTGGTACTAGACTAGCAATATAACTAATGTGGTTACACCGTTCGTAAAAGAAACGAAAAAAAAAAAAAGGAAAAAAGTATTTAGCAAAAAGAACCCTAAACAATCGGTTATCATTCAATAATAATCATCATTTTGCTTTAGTACACATTATTTACTTTTTCTTAACTTTTTTTTCTATTAACTTACTTCTTCTTCAGAGTATCGCTGGACTTGTGTATATCTATCTGTATGATAGAGTATGTACAGAAAATTTAGTTTATTTCTTTCATTTCTCATTTTGTATACGTATTGAAAAAAACCAAAATTACACAAGAAACGGATCAAATATATGAGAGAAGTTGTCAAGAAAATAAATGTGTTTTTTTCTCTTTGTTGTAAATAAATATAAGAAGAAGAGAGAAGTTCATGAAAATGTTAATCGAAAAGAAAGAGAGGATTGAATGTTTATAGCACTAGTTCATGTAAGCGTTAATCTATAAATAAATGGCATACTATCTTTATTATTATTTAGGATCACTACTGATAACTTACAATCGTATGGTCTTCATTTAATGAGATTGCACTGTTTCTAACCTCTTTAAATAGTCTACTTTTAACTCGGAAATAAGTATATCTATTTTCAAGAAGAGGATGCTCAATTAAACGTTTTAATTGACAACTATATTGTTCTAACACAATCATCTATTCATAATAATAAATTTTAGACTTTAAGATATCATAAAATATGAAAACATCTTGAAATGTTAGCTATGATGTTCTTTTGAATATATGCCATGGAAAAAGCACAATATCAAGACACTCTATATTCTTTTTTATTTTCATTCATTATTTCTGCGACAGTTGAAGAAAGAAAAAAAAGAATAATTATATAAGATGACATAAAAAAACAGGTTTTTTTTCCTTCTCTCTATTTATTGAATATAAGAACATGATTACGCATACTTTAAATGCTATGGTCAACGACTCAGGTAAAATGCGGTTTTCTTTTTTTCGTGGTTGTGTTGATGGCAAAAATTAGTTAAAATAACAACATATATACCTCGCTGGAATTTGCGATAAAAATATACCATTAGCTTTTTTTGAAGAAAAGAAAAAAAGTGTTTTTTCTTGAACATTTATTTACTCATATTACAATATATACAGGTATATCGGGTAAAGAAATTCAAATAAGCGAAACGAATAGTTTATTATAAGTGTCATAAGCGTAAAAGAAAAACGAAATACGACAACTACGAGCTCCTTAAGCTGTGAAAACTTTTTTCTCTATTTTTTCTTTATAAAAACAATTTCAAAATGGTAAGCGTGTGAAATGCAACGTGTTATATGTCAACGGAATAGTTTAATGATGTTCATAAGGTATACCCACCCACACATAGTGATTTAATTAACAAATTATGTTGATTTTTTTTCATCTTTTCAATGAAAGAAACCTAAGGCTACAAAATCCTTGAATTTACTCATTTCTAGCGCTTTGTTCATGTAGTAACGAGTTCGGTCTTTTTTCTTTTTTCATTTATATATATATATATATATTCCAATCGATTCTTTCCTTTTTTGCATTGTTTTCTTTTTTTCTTGCGAATAAACTCTAGTAGAGTGGGATAAAAATTTGTTGACCCCTCGAGTATTTATTGAAGAGCTTATTTAATTTTGAAGTTTTGTACACGTTTCTGCGTTTACTTCACTTAAGGCTAATCAAGAATTTTACCTTTTGACTGACATTTTAAGAATCAAGGCAAAATAGGAGAAAGGGTTCGGCGTACGCCAAGGATAATAGGAAAGAGAACCCAAGAGATCGAATGAATTCACCTATCTCTAACTATCCTGGAAATAATTGATTTTCACAAAAATCGTAAAGTGCATGCGTTTTCAAACGAAGATGGCATAGTTTTCTCAATGCGCACGATGTATTTTGTTGAATAACTTCGATTGCAATGGACAAGGAAGAAAAGTATTCAATGTCTTTTTCAATACTGGGTGCTAGCCTTACTCTTTGATGGTGAATCAAGAAAATACATAAGACGATTTAGTAATCCATTTGGAGTTAGAACTTATTCTGAAAGGAATCAAGGCTATTACTCACGAGTAGAGAGGATTGATCCTTGGTTACGTGGGTGAAAAAAAGCATTTAGAAAACTTAAAAACTAAAGCGGTTCGCTAGAAATGCTCGAGGGATCAAAAAACTTCCAGTTAACTGCCTCACTCCATTCTCGAGAATAAAAAGCTTATTTCTAATCAAGATAAATAAAATCATCTAGTAAAGAGAGATTTTAAAGAATATCGATCAAGAAAAATAAAGTTCGGAAATCGGTAACTAATTCTTTTATCTCTTGAACATATGAACTGAACAAGAACTAGCAGTGAACATTGTAGAGCCATTTCTTGCAGAAGAAGGATACTTGTTGTGACGAACGAAACATCGACATCCGAGTGTGTCATCTAGTTTAAGGTAAGTTGAGCTGATAAAACAGGTTTCCTCATAAATCAGTCTGTCAATATCACATTTGTCGTTCTTTTCCTTTTTTTTCTCTTAGTGATCACTAGAGCATTTCAAACCTAGCAGAGCACATCGGGAGGATTCTTACTCAGTGACAAAAACTAAAAAAACAACTGCAGTTGATTAGCTAAGAAATCATCGGTGAGATTTGAATTTTTGTTCATGTATTAAGGACAGAGACCTCTTTTCGCGCCAAAACATGAGTTTTTTTCAATTCTGAGTCTGACATGTCTCTGTATACAGTCAAATATCCTCTATCAAATAGAATTTCTAAAATTATATCTTTGGAAGGAGTTACAAGTTTTTTAAAATTTTCAAAATTGTAACTTTTCGAATTCTTTTCATGCTTTGTAGACGATATAAAACTTTGAATGTCGATACGAAACATCTGTCATTCTCCGCTCTTATGCTGTCTTGGTATCTGATTTGAAAGTCAGAATGACTTGACTACTCGAAGCTTTTTTCCGAGTCATCGTTAAATAAAGTAATTGGGAAAAAGTGTCTGTAACATGAGTGCTCATAAGATAGTTGATTAGAGAAAAAAAATACAGAATAGGTTTTACATTCATTAGGCATCAGTGAGCGATGAGATGTTATTTTCATTATTCGAACAGTCTAAATATTAATATAGCATAATTGATCAGTATCGTTATCAAATATTCAAGTTTAATTAGATTGATTTGACCCTTTTTTTCTTTTCTTGACTTTAACGTCACTCTTATTTTATATACACTTATTTGCGTCTGTTTTCGTTTTGTGCATGTGTCATGCTGCCGTAATATTCTTTCTTTTCGATATTCCTGATATTTGAACAAGAAAAGAAGAGAAAAGCTACATTTAATTCTTTCTGATGAGAAAAAGAAATATTTTGTTCTTTATTTTCACATCTATTTAGATTTATATTATTATTATTATTATTATTATTATTGTTATTATTATGCAGCATATTCCACTCTTTCTTATTTCGATCATTAAAGTGTCTAATGTGTAGAGCTTACAGAAGGAGAAGAAAAAAAATTGAAAAGTAATAAAGTTTTTAACGCCAGTGAACAGTGTCAGATGTTTAAAAACCGTATTTTAATGGAGTGCACAATTATGATAGATTTTCTCTTTTTTAATGCAACATTCTTAATATTTCAGATAAAATAGAGAAGAAGGGTGTTAGAGTAATATCGGTTATTGCAGTAACAATTACAACAGTGTGTTGTATTAATGAAAAATGGTGTGTATTGCACTAATGAAGTTAATCATGCAGTATAGATGTTATATTCTATTTTAGGCTAAAGACAAAAAAGTAAAAGTAAAAAGTGACAAAAACAAGAATTTAGACGAGTTAAAACGTGAAATAGACATTGTATGTAAAATATGAAGAAACTGCAAATCTTGCTATTGTAGCGGTGTTCCAATCTATTTTCTTTTACACAATATTACTATACTTGCTTCAGGATGATCATCAGATACCACTCGAAGATTTATATAAAAGATATGAAACAAATCTTGAAAGGGTGAGTAAGAACTTGCATTTATTGACAGTTACTTATGTATCTTTGCTTTTAAATATTTTAGGGCTTAACTGACGAAAAAGCCGCCCAAGTTTTAGCACGTGACGGACTAAATGCCTTATCTCCACCAAAAACCACTCCAGAATGGGTTAAATTTTGTAAACAAATGTTTGGCGGTTTTGCCTTGTTGTTATGGCTTGGTGCTATTTTATGTTTTATCGCACATACTATTAGTGCAGTAACATACGAAGAAGCTCCAAATGACAATGTAAGTAGAAGAAAATTTGAATGGACTGGAGAAATCAATATATTGCGCTTTTCTCTTCATTTCAGCTGTGGCTGGGCATTGCATTAACCGTCGTTGTATTTCTAACTGGATGTTTTTCATATTTTCAAGAAGCCAAAAGCTCAAAAATTATGGAGTCATTCAAAAATATGTAATTGTGAATGAACAAACTTCTTACCCTTGCTAACTCTCGTTTTTTATTGTAGGGTTCCACCAGTATGTTTCATCTCATGTGTATCTCCGTGAAACATGCTTTTATTTTTTCCTTTTTGATATAGCTAGCATTAGTAATACGTAATGGCGCAAGGAAAGAACTAAGAGCTGAAGAGCTCGTTGTTGGTGATATTGTGGAAGTAGCAGTTGGTGGTCGCGTTCCGGGTAGATCTTATAATATTTCACATAACAACTTTTTGAATAATCAACTTCTTCTTTTAGCTGATATACGAGTTGTTCAGGCTCAATCATTCAAAGTTGATAACTCATCATTAACCGGTGAAAGTGAACCGCAATCACGTTCACCAGAATGTACAAATCCCAATCCATTAGAAACAAAAAATATAGCATTTTTTAGTACATATGCTGTTGAAGGCACTTGTACTGGAGTGGTTGTGCTTACGGGTGATAGAACATTTATGGGTCGTATAGCTAATCTTGCATCAGGTAAACAAATTTAGTCTCTAACATTCTGTATGGTATTTGGTTCTCTTTATAGGTCTTGAAACGGGTGAAACACCAATTGCACGTGAAATCGGCCATTTTATTCATATAATAACGGGCGTAGCTGTATTTTTGGGTGTATCATTTTTTATTATCGCATTTGCACTCGGTTATCCGTGGCTAGAAGCCGTTATTTTCTTGATTGGTATTATTGTCGCAAATGTGCCGGAAGGTTTGCTGGCCACCGTAACTGTATGTACAATTTTATCTTTATTTTTTTTTCTTTCGAAATCAAGGTTATCTTTTTCTTTTGTATAGGTGTGTTTGACGTTAACAGCCAAACGTATGGCAAAAAAGAATTGTTTAGTGAAAAATTTAGAAGCTGTCGAAACGCTGGGCTCAACATCCACAATTTGTTCGGATAAAACAGGAACATTAACACAAAATCGTATGACAGTTGCTCATATGTGGTTTGATAATCATGTTGTTGAAGCCGATGCAACAGAAAATCAACAAAGTAAACAATTTATTTTATTAATTTATGCTAGTTTCAGCAACAATTGATCTGAGTACTAGCTATCTTCATATGCGGTAGATATGAAATATAGCTTTTTTAGTTCCAAATAATGAGCGAAAAGTTTCTTAATTTAGCAGTGTTGTTTATGATTTTGTATTACTATTTTCCATAATATTTTAACTTAGATGCTACATATGATAAATCTTCACCAGGCTGGTTAGCACTTTCACGTTGTGCCATGTTATGTAATCGTGCAAGATTTAAACCAGACCCTGAAAATTTGAAAAAACCTGTATTGCAACGTGAATGCCTTGGTGATGCATCTGAATCAGCATTGTTAAAATGTGTCGAATTATCAGTAAGTATATTTCTCACTTAAAATAAAGAATTCCAGTTAACTATATTATAGTTTTTTCAATTAGACTGGTAATGTTATTAAATTTCGTGAAGCAAATCGTAGCGTCTTTGGTATACCGGTACGGTTTTTTTTAAACTAATCTTCTAGTAGCGAATAATCTCTAATTGTTTAGTTCAACTCAACCAATAAATATCAAGTATCTATTCACAAAACCGATGATGATGATCCAAGACTTTTGCTTGTCATGAAAGGTGCTCCCGAACAAATTCTTGAACGTTCTGCAACAATTTACGTTGATGGTAGCGATATTGAATTAAATGATTGTAAGAATATCTTCTATACGTTTGTTGGGACAAAGAATTATATGCTCCCTCTTTATTTAGATTGGAGAGCGGCGTTCAATCATGCTTATTTGGAACTTGGTGGACTTGGTGAACGAGTGTTAGGCTTTTGTGATTTACGTTTACCCTCTCCAAAATTTACAGAAAATTTCGATTTCCACTCAGATGAGATTAATTTTCCAGTTGAAAACTTAAGATTCTTAGGATTAATGTCGATGATTGATCCACCACGTGCCGCTGTGCCCGACGCGTAGGTTAATTACTAAGAATAACGCGCAACTCATAAGATGTTTGCTTCTTTTTTAGCGTTGCCAAATGTCGTTCAGCTGGAATAAAAGTCATTATGGTTACTGGAGGCAAGTAAAGAAGTTGGTTTTTCAATGAATAACACTTTCAAATGGTTTTTTATTTAGATCATCCTATCACGGCCAAAGCAATTGCAAAAGCTGTTGGTATCATATCGGAAGGACAAAAGACCGTAGAGGATATCGCAAACCATTTGGGAATACCCATCGAACAGGTTAATGCTAGTGATGCTAAAGCCTGTGTTGTCCATGGAAATGATTTAAAGAACATGACACAAGATCAAATTGATCATCTTTTATCAACCCACACAGAAATTGTATTTGCACGAACGAGTCCACAACAAAAACTAATTATTGTCGAAGGATGTCAACGTCAAGGTGCTATTGTTGCTGTAACTGGTGACGGTGTCAACGATTCACCTGCATTGAAAAGAGCTGATATTGGTGTTGCCATGGGTAAGTGATGATTCGTTATTTACTTCATTTCTTTATTCTACTTTTTTTTCAGGCATAGCTGGAAGTGATGTTAGTAAACAAGCAGCCGACATGATATTATTAGATGATAATTTCGCCTCAATTGTAACGGGTGTTGAAGAGGGACGTTTGATATTTGATAATTTAAAGAAATCTATTGCCTACACACTGACATCCAATATACCAGAAATTACACCGTTCCTCATGTACTTAATAACAGATATCCCATTACCATTGGGCACAATAACAATATTATGCATTGATTTGGGAACTGATATGGTACCGGCTATTTCACTCGCTTACGAAAAAGCTGAATCAGATATCATGAAGCGTCAACCACGTGATCCTCAACGAGATCGTCTTGTAAATGAACGGTATAATATCTAAACATTAATAAAGTCGTTCTTTATTGATAAGACAATGGTTTTATTTAGATTAATTTCAATGGCCTACGGACAAATTGGTATGATTCAAGCGTCTGCTGGCTTCTTTACGTATCTCGTTATAATGGCAGAAAATGGTTTCTGGCCAAGTCGTCTATTAGGTTTACGTCAATCATGGGAAAGTAAAACTATCAATGATTTAGAAGATTCTTATGGACAAGAATGGGTAAAATTAATATAATTTTTTCGCAGATGATTTAAGACATGTTTGCATGTTCGTGTTTCAGACATATCCCCAACGTAAAACACTTGAATATACTTGTCATACTGCATTTTTCGTCTCAATTGTCGTAGTACAATGGGCTGATTTGATTATATGTAAAACAAGACGAAATTCTCTCTATCATCAAGGCATGACGTAAGTTATTCCAAATAATTAGAGTTAGTAAGTCCTATTGACGAAGAAGTTAACATATTTTTTGACGAAAGATGAGGCCATTCCATTATATTCCTCTTATTTCTTTTACGCTCATGTTTTATATTGTTTTTTTAGTAATATGATGCTGAACTTTGGTTTAGTATTTGAAACTGTATTGGCTGCCATCTTATGTTACACACCATATCTAGATAAAGGTCTTAACATGTATCCACTCAAGTAAGTATCTCACATATGTGTGCTTTTTACAAACAAAAAGTAACTGTATACAACAAAAATATGCACACGACCTTCTTTTTGTCTTTTGTGATAAAAATCATACGGCTAAAGAGTAAGCATACCCTCGATTGTACTACTACTACTAATTTAATCATTCGCGGACCAATATTTGCTTGCTGTTGTCATCGATTACCATACTATTGTTTTATCTGCATATGCATCAGTTTTTGAAGCGTTATAATTATAGTTTCTTACTTCTCAGCTGCAAATCTAATTAGTCGAACCTTTGAATGTTGCTTCTTACTCTCACTCGATTTACAGTGATGAATCACCAAATAAAGTAGTATATCCCAGTGAATGAACTCATATGGATTGTTCCAATGCAATCGGAAACGAACAGATGTTCGAAGATACGTGATGCTTATTCTACTGGCACGATTTTCTACTTAAAAAAAAGATCTGCAGGCCTCAGTTGAAATCATCTCGTATTACTGCATCTATGAGAAGACGTCACAATCGTTTTTAGGCTCTATCACATTTGAATATTTCATTCGGTATAAAACTATCTCATTTGTTTCTCAATATTTAGATTTATGTGGTGGCTTCCAGCATTACCATTTTCCATAGCCATATTTGTTTATGATGAAGTTCGAAAATATTTAATTCGTAAAAATCCAGGAGGATGGGTAGAACGTGAAACATATTATTAATTATAGAATGATTATTAATAGAATAAAAATGTATTGTTTCTAGTATTATTATAATTAGTATCAATTAATTAATTATTATTCAATGTGTATAGGCCAAATTTCATATCGTTTTTGTGTCTAGATATTTTTTGAATCAAACAAAAAAAAAACCAGCCATATATTTTTTCTTGTGTATTTTCTTTTTTTTTTCAGTTCAAATACTCAGAAAAATCTCATTTAACTGCCAAGATTAACACACTACGTGTGTATAGGGGCAAATAGCGTCGTTTTCTTTTTTATTTGTAATAATAAAACGCTTTATAGTCATTAGCGAAAAAGAAGATGTCGTTTGCATTTCTTTTTTTATTTTTCGATTGTTTGTTTCTTTATTTGTTTGCATTTTTTCTCATTCCTTACTAGAACAGTTCTGGTGATACGAAAAATATATAATAAAAAGTATATAGAACAGTTTTCATTCAGTTAAAAGAAAAGGATTAACTTTTTTTTGCACATTTATTCCTAAAACTATATTTTCGTTCTTTCTCAAAATCAAACTGTTCTATTTTGTTGTTGTTATTGGTTTGTCTGCTTTTAATATTTGTGTGAGTTTGTTAGTGTTATTTTCCCAGCAAACGATCTGTGGGTGTTACTATACTTTTTTTTATTTATCTTCTATTGTTTAAACATACGTGTGTGGATTCAGACACGTAGTTGATATGGATATATTAGCGTTTGGTTCGTGCAATTAGATAACCATATTTTAAATGAAATAATCGCGTGTCGTTTGTCTCACATTTCTAAATGTGTGTGTTTTCAAAATAAGTTGTCTTCTCTAGTTCTTTCTCTTTTATGTGATCTGCTCTCTTTTTTTTGTTCTTCTTCTAATGACATGTTCGTGTGGCTCTCTAAAGATGAAAATAATAATGGATCTTTTCTTTTCTGCTTCGTAGTATTTTTATTTGTTTTTTTGGTCGTTTATTTTTTAAAGAAAGTTGAAATAAAAACATCTCCTACTGAGCATTTTTTATATGAAATCGGCTATAGGCATTTAATCCGAATAGAGAAGTATACAGTAAATTATTTTGAATGTTATTAAAACACAGGTCATGGGTAGAGACCTGCACGGGTTAAGAACACCTGACCCGAACCCGACCCAACTGCCAAAATGCCGACCCACACCCGACCCGACACGATGAAAACGATCTCACCAGAAAACTGTGTTTGAGAAAGACTATAGACTTACCTTGTTAGACAAAAGTTTTTCGGTGCATATTGTAGAATCTCGTAGTTCAAAAAAAACATTTTTGAACGACGTCTGATTGGTCATTTTGTCTAAAAGGTTAATCTATTGAAAATTCCACAGTACACTTTGTCAATAGATTATCTTAACCGAGATGATGACCACATCCTTTTTCTCATTGGTCAGTCAGTATCAGCTAATACTAAGATAGCAAGTAGAGAGCATCATAGTAAAGTCTTCTATGTACGGGTGTTTAAAACAGTACATTGAAAAAAAGCAGTAAGGGATGTATTGCCATTGATTTCAGTGCAGGAAGCACTCTCTT